TCCCAGGAACCAGCGGCAGAGGTGGGGCTAAGCCAGCAGCTCCCACGCTCTCCCCAGGTACGTCACCTCCTGCCAAGGCGTGTGTTCATCTGCCCACAGAGGGCCACCCCAGGACCCAGGCAGGCCAGGAATGGTGACGGTGGTGTTGGGAAATGACTGAGGAGCCTGGCCAGGCCACACCCTCTCAGTATCCTCCCCCAACCCTAATTATAGACCACAAACGACAGACAGACAGACAGACCGGGTGATCTCTACCTGTCCAGAGAGAGGTGAGAGGTTTTCCGCCAGGGCCTGACCCAAGCCGGGGTATCTGGCTGCAGTTCCTCACTGGGCCATCAGCTCCCTCCATGCCTCAGCCAAGCCCAGGTTGAAGGAGGGGCCCGCCAGGCCTGTGGTTGCCTAGGCATTGCCTGGAGGAGCCGCTGTGTGCCTGGCAGACCTCCCCAGAGTGGCACCCAGGGCCCACACCCCATTCCCTAGGGCCCTGTGCAAGGGCATGGCTGTATCTTGATCTGAATGGCCTTTGGAGCAGCAGCTACCTATCACGTACTGGGTCAAAGATGGGTGGAAGGTTGGAAGCATGGGACTTGTGGCTCCAGGGACTGTAGCGGTTCTGTAGCGACAGTAGTGAGCCTGGCTGGGCGCGGTGTGAGAGGGTGCCCGGGAGGCAAGCTGGGGCTATGCCAGCAGCTGGTCTTTGGCCTGAGGGCAGTGCTGGGGGCCTTTGAAGGGTCGAGACCCCTCTGGCTGCCATGCATCTTGGGGACCAATGGTGGGATGGATGGAGTCACAGATGTGGGGTGGCTATTCAGGGGCTTCTAATCCAGGGAGTAATTGAAGGTCTGGGGGGACTGTGGCGAACCCACAAGCACATGCCCTGGCTAAGGGGACAGCTGCCTGCCAGCCCCCGCCCAGCATCCTGTCGTGTGGGAACGTGAACCCAGTGTGGCCAGGTTGTCTGAAGTTGCAGGAGAAGACGGAAATGTGGATTTTTATATGAAATCACCTGACCTTTTACTGTTGGCTCAAAAATTTAAAAACACTTTGTAAGCCAAGCAAAACACACACGTGGGCTGGGTTTGGCCTGGTTCTCATCTCCGGCTGTCAGTTCTCAGCCTGCCTTGTAAGCTGCCTCTGCGAGGAGCTTCAGAGCCTGCACAGCCCGGCGCTGTTCTCAGGGGCTTCCCTGGGGAGAGGCTGGGGGCTGGGACGGCGGGGCGGCGGGTTGAGCTGGGAGCAGGATTCCAGCGACCACCGCCCTTTCTACAGGGCTCTGGGCCCCGTTTCTCCAGCAGAACCTCCAGGGGCGTATCCCAGCCTTGGTCCTCACTCACCCAAGGTCACTCCAGCCCCGTTTGAGCTGTGTGACTCAGTCTCCCAGCTGCCCACAGCCTCAACCCCCAAAGGAAGCCCAGTGCCTCTGTGCGTGCGGAGTGCGTGTGGTCATGGGGCGAGCAGTGCGGGAAGTGGAGCTGTCATTGTCACGGCCCGGGGTCGGAAGATCATTGTTCTCCTAACTGGTTGCTGGGAGTCTAAATGGCTTTGAGGATGAATCTCAAACTGTGTCCTTTTTCTTTTTTAAACTTTTTTGTGGAAAATTCCAAGTAGAAAAGTAGAGGGAAATGGCATAAAGGTGCCTCAGCAATAGCGAGCGCAGTGCAGGGCCGCTCTAGTTTCTGCTCCTGTTGCCCCACCGTCTTCTCCCCTAGCGGACAGTGTTTATGCAAGTCCCAAGTGCATTATTTGATAAACATTCCAGTATGTTACTCTAATAACCACAATACGATGATCAAGCCCAAAGAATGAAGCAAATTGCATCAAATAATCCAGTGCTATGCAAAATAATCCTAATAGTATTTTAGGTTTGTTTTTTTAATGGTTGCCCTGTTCAAATGCAATCCTGGATCTACATGTTGCATTTGGTGATGTCTGTTACCTTTCTTTTAGTAGTTATTTCCCCTTTATTTTTTTCCCTGAAATGTATTTGTTGGAGAAACTGGGTGGTTTGTCCCACAGAGATTCCCGCAGGCTGGAGTTTGGGGATTGCATCCGCAGGGTGTGCTTAACATGCTCCTCTGTCCCCTGTAATCCCCCCATATGGTCGCTACGTGCGGAGGCTGGGTTGGAGTCACATTTGGGTTTTGGCAAGAACACTTCGTGGGGAGCTCTGTGTCAGGTGGCACCTGCTGTCCTGGTCTCCTCGACCCCACAGCTCTGGGGAAGGATTATGAGGGGAAGTCCATGAGTACTCAGGAGAGGGCCTTGTGCATGGGAGGCACCCATGAGTGGCAGCCCCTGTCACTGACAGTGAGGACAGTCTCTGGCCTGCCTGGCTGGGGTCACAGAGCACAAATGCGAGGTCCTTAACCTGTGCTGTCTCTTTAATTATGCCCCCTTCACACAGGAGAAAATGGTGCCCTGGAGGTGGGGTGATTTGTCTGGGGGAGAGTTGGTCACGAAGTAACACAGGGGTGGAGCTGGGCTTCAAACCCAGGCATTTCAGTGCCTAAGTCTGACCTCTATGCCCCTCTGACGCCTTGGGAACCAAGTGTTTTAAGGGGGGGGCCGCTGGAGTGGCTAGCAGGCTTGCCAGGGCCCCAGGAGGGGAGCCCCAAGGAAGGGGCAAACAAGGGAAATTGCTTTTGTACCTGCAGTTTTACTGAAACACAGTCACATACATTTGTATGAATTGTATTCAAAAAAACACCACCACCCATTTTTGGTTATATATAAAGTTTTACTGAAACATAGCCACACTCATATATACTGTCTGTGGTTGCTTTCATGCTGCAAGGGCAGACTTGAGTGGTTGGAACAGAGACCATATGGTTCCCACAGCCTAATGTTTATAAAAACAGACAGACATTAACCAGAGGGACTGCTTAGGTAAAGGATACCCACCCTGCCCCCTCTGCACAGATTATTTCCAGGCAGTTTGTTGGGAGGCAGCCTGGCCAGCCGTGTTGGGGGTGCATAGTGATGGAATTCCCCTCCCTCCCCTCTCCAACCTATCTGGGCCCCCCAACCCTGGCGCCCAGACCTTCAAGGTCAGAGAGGTGGTGACATTGGGCGCTCCCCGCCGGCCCTCATGAATCACTTGGCCTGCACGGGCCCTTCCCTGGCTATGAAATGGGCATGAGCTTGCTTCTCAGGCTCCTCCGGGGGAGAAAGAGAGAAACAGCACAGCAAAGAGACAAGGAAGCGCCAGGCAGGTGCTGGATTCCCTGGGCGAGTTCTGAATTCCCAGAGGCGCTGAGATCGTGGCCTTGGGAGCAGGAGTGGGAGGAGAAGCTTCTGGCCAGAGGGCAGTGTCCAGTGTCTAGGTCACCCTTTGTTGCTCTTTGAGGACCTCCTTCCTCTGGATGTGCCCCGCCCACCACCCCCTCCCTCGGGGCAGGGCCCAGAAGCTCCCTAAACAGCCCGTTAGGGGTCTCCACCCCAAACCAAATCTACTCACTGTGCTTTGCAAAACAAAACTCAGCATTTACTACATGTTCTTGATTATTAAAGTATTCTAGAAAAATCAGAGAATTCTGGAAGTAAAAAGAAGAAGTGTATAATACCACCCAGAAATTGCCACCTTTACTTTTGCCCAGGAGGTCCCCCTGCCCCTATGCATGTGTGCGTGTCTGAGCCCCGTCTGTATCCTGGCTCTCTGGCTTCTCAGTTCCAGCAGAGGGTGCCCCTCATTCCCGTTCTCCTGGGGTGAGATATGCACGGGGTGCATTTGAGTGGATCCCATTAGAAGAGCTGTAATAGAGGTTTCCATATACATCCGTGTTTAGAGATCCATGTTCACACCTCTGATTGCTTCCTTGGGGTGAATTCCTAAGAGTGGGATTAATCAAGTCCAAGGGCATGAGTGTTTTTAATGCCCCTCATAGAATCTGGCAAATTGTCAAGGTCTTGCCTTATGCCCAGATGGAAAACTTCCTGGTGGGTGAACAAGCTGCCTAGATGGGCACACCAGTGGGTCGGGCTTGCTGGGACCCCACTGCCCGTGGATATCTGAGGCTTGGCACACAGTGGGTGTGCAAGACATGCTTATGGGATGTGTGTAGTCTGGTCTGCCCTCTCATTTTACAGATGGAAAAACTGAGGCCCGGTGGTACGGGACCGGTTCTGGGGAGGCTGGTGGCATTGCTAGGGCTGCTAACGGAGGTGGCCAGCCTCTGTGAGGCCTAAGGGCTGAGGCCGGGCAGGTCCCAGCAGTGGCTTGGGTGTGCAGGAGGGCATTCATGAGTCTGCAAACACCCTCTTGACCCTCTTCCTTACCTGCTTCTAGACAGTAGCTGAGGCTCCCTAGCCCTGTCCCTCCCCAGCGTCAGCAGCCTCACTTCTACCCTGATGACTGCCCTGGCACCCTGAGCACTCAAGGTGCCCCTGCTGGCATTTGTCCCTTACCTTTTCCTGAATGTCTGTCTGTAGGCCCCAACCCTGATGACAGCGGTGCAGTCTCCGTTCTCCCTGCCTCACTTCTGCCTGCACCACCTCCTCTAGCGGAGGGGTGTGTGAGACAGGACCCCAACGAGACAGTGCAGGCCAAGACCCCAAGGGTAGTGTCCCTCTCTCCACACCAAACACACGTCAACGCTGAAGACTTCCAAGTGGGCGGGTGCACCAAGGACGCACGTCCCAGGACTCGGGAGCACGCGCCCGCCGCGAGCGCTGTACGTCAGGCACAGTTCCTACTGTGAGCCGCTCTGAAGAAGAAAGAGGCCCAGAGAAGCGCAGCAACTTGTCCGAGAGCACAGAGCCTGGGAGGGGCTTCCCTGGGATTCCTGGGAGGTGGGGCTGGCTTCCAGGGCCGCGGGGCCGCGCGTCAGCGCGCGTCCCACTTATACACCTGCGCCGCGCGGGGCGCGCGCCCGCGCCCGGGGGCTCCGCCCGCCTCCCGGCCCGCCCCTCCGCCCGCCTCCCGGCCGGCCCCGGCTCGCCCCCGGGCTGACCTCGCCGCGGCCTGGCGGCAGCTGCAGAGCGCAGGCAGCGCCGAGCCGCGCGGGCCGCCCCCGCGCCGCCCCGGCTCCCGCGGCCCGGCGGCCGCCCGCGCCGCCGCAAGCCGTCCATGGTGCAGCGCATGCGGGCCGAGGCGGCCGGGCCTACGGGCGGCGCCGAGCCGCTGTTTCCGGGCTCCCGGCGGAGTCGCAGCGTGTGGGACGCGGTGCGCCTGGAGGTGGGCGTCCCCGGCAGCTGCCCGGTGGTGCTGCACAGCTTCACGCAGCTGGACCCCGACCTGCCGCGCCTGGAGGTGGGTGAGCCAGGACGGCCGATCCGCGGCCGGGCGGGGGCCTCTATCCGCGGGAATCCCCGCCCCTCCCACCCCGGGGCAGCGCGGCGGGCGTGGGGGCTGCCGCAGAGCCGGCTCACCGGTTCAGGGACCGGAGCCGGATCTTCGTGCCCGCCCGTGCAGCCCAGCGCCCGGCCCCACGGAGCCCAGGTGGGCCAGCGCCGCGTCCCGGCAACCCAGCTAGACCTGTTCCCGCGGCTGTCACTGTTTACATCTGCGAGCTTGCCGACAGCAGGGGCCCGGCGCTTAGCTGGTTAGGCTTCCAGTGCCGGCGGTGAGCGGGTGATCAGGGGGCAAACTCCTAGAGTCCTTGCAGGCAGTTGGGACCACAGGGGCCTTCCGGGCAGGGCTGTCCCCAGGGGGAGTGGAGGGAGGCAGGCCCACAGCTTGTGGGGCCAGGTCTCGGGGCCGTGAGACTGGGACAAGGGCCTCTCAGGCTAAGGGGCTGACTCACTTTTGTTTGATTAGAAAATATGCCACACCCCAGATTTGTAAGGATTTGGGAGGATTCAGAAAATGGGGAATGCCTGTCACAGGTGGAAATGGGGTGACAAGGGGCAGGCTGGGGGGACTTGTTTCTGGTGTCCTCGGGGCAGTGGGGCCCAGTGGATCATGGGGTTGCCTCCTGCCTGTGTGCCTGATTCCATGCACCAGATGGGGGTAGAATCCAGGGTCCAGCCCTCTCCCCCGACTCTGCCTGGGAATGAGACCGGGTCAGAGGCTGTCTGTGGGTCGGGGGGCTCAGGGATTCAAGGCTGAGCCACTGTGCTGGGTAGGGCCCCCGTGCTGCTCCCCTGCTTTATACTTTAGGCCTCAGTACGTTGTAATTGCCAGCGTGGGTGCTGCGCCTCTGTGCTCCTGGATAAGTATTTGCCAGAGATTAAAGCACATCTCCCTGCTCAGTGGAGGGGGAGGGCGAGGAGTCGGGGAGCTCTTGGTGGGGGAACCTTGGGCCCGGGGGACTTTCCTCCTGAGCTTGGCGGGTGGCCCGGGCAGGCGTCTTCCCAGAATCCTTACCCACCCACAGCTCTGTCTTCATTGGCAGCTGGAATGGGACCCCGCGGAGGGTTGGGGGGAAGCCTGACACCAGCCCAGGGCTCATCTGACTTTCATTATGTCTGGCAGTGACTCGGGCTTTGTGTGCTGGGAGAGTCTGGCTCGAGCACTCCAAGGGGCTGGGCAGGTTCCTGGCCAGGGTGGGCTACTTAGCCGCTTCTTCCTTCTCTGCCCGTCTGCACCCCTGAGGACCTGAGAGAGGCAGGTGCCCGCCCTTGGGTCTGCCTTCTCTCCCTCTCGTGCTGCGGTGGCGGCTGCTGCCCTCCCTCACCCGGCCTCAGCACTGAGATCCAGGCCATGGCCGCTGTTTAGAAATCCAAGGGGAAGCTTCTGGCTGGAGCAGGAAAACCAGGGTCCTGGCAGGAGAGGAGGCCACTGCCGGAAACCGAACACAATGACCATTTACCATGGGCTGGAGGAGAGGGCGGGGAAGTCCCTGTCCCTCCTGCCAACACCCCCCCCCCC